TGGGAGGAGAAAATGGTTTGGAGTTGGCAAAAGGGCAAGAGGGCGGAAGGGTTGTTAGTGGGAAAGAGGGAGGCAAAGGAAAGGTGGTGGAAGCCACCTTGGCGTGGGTGAATTCCAAGATTTTGGGACTGAGAAAGTTCTTGGGGGTGTCAATTGTGGGTATGGAGGAAGAACGGTGAGTTAGCTAAACTGAATGCAAAAAAAAGGTGGAATTGGGGGGGGTTCTTTCTCACTATTTATGGATTTGAAAATTCTTTCGTGGAATGTTGGGGGGTTGGGATCAGGTAGGAGAAGGTTGGTGACTTGTGATTTGCTCAAAAGGTGGAAGTCAGATGTGGTGTTCTTCCAAGAAACTAAACTGGACTTAGTGGAGGCTGAAATAATTAGGAGTTTCTGGGGTGATGGTCAAGTGAGATGGGTAAGTAAACTAGCTAGAGGAAGTGTTGGGAGTATCCTTACTCTCTGGGATGAATCAAAGTGTATACTTGATTTCTTCTCGAGTTGGTGATTTCTTGGTGTCGGTTATCTTGAAGTTTGAGGGAGGCTTTCAAGGGCAGTTCGTTAATGTTTATGGCCCAACGAACAATGTGGAGAGGGGGAGTTTCTGGGAAGACCTGACTGAAGCTAGAGGGGTGCACTCCATCCTTTGGGTGATAGGTGGGGACTTTAATGTGGTTAGATTCTTGAAGGAAAGAAAGGGAGTGAATTGGCATACAAGGGATATGAGAAGATTTGCAGATTTTGTGAATTGTTTTGACCTATCGACCTTCCTTTGTTGGGGGCTCAATTCACCTGGACCAATAACCAAGAGTCACCGGCGTTGGTTAAGTTAGATAGGTTTCTTATATTTCCGGAATGGGAGAATGCATTTAACCTCTCAAAACAAGTGGCCCTCCCATGACCAGTTTCGGACCATTCTCCTATTCAGCTGGTGTGTGGTAAACAAGGTCCAAAAAATACCCCCTTCATGATGGAAAATATGTGGTTCGAAGAGGTAGAGTTGGTTCCCCTTTTGATCTCTAAATGGACTGAACTCCAGCTAGATGGCACAAGCTCTTTCAAATTTGCAAAAAAGATCAAATTAGTTAAGGAGACCCTGAAATCTTGGAGGTTGGAGTTCCGTGGGACCTCAGAATCAGAGAAAAAAAGGTGTCTTGATTCTTGAAGTGATTAAAGATTTGGACTTGGCTGAGGAATCAGAAAAAAAAAGGCCTATGACCATATCAACTGGAAATGCTTGGATTTTGTCTTGGAGAAGATGAACTTTGGACAGAAATGGAAGAATCAGATCAAAGTATGTTTTTCTTTCCCCAAATTTGCAGTTCTACTAAATGGAGAACTGGCTGACTTCATCAAAAGCTCTAGAGGCCTCAGGCAAGGGGACCCCTTTCCCCTCTTCTGTTTATTTATATAATGGAGAAATTGTTTTTATTTGTTAACTGAGTTGGTGAAGAGGGTTTGTGGAAGGGGTTTGAGTCGGCTCCAGGAGGAGAAAAAGTTCATTACTTCAGTTTGCAGATGATACCTTGTGTTTTTTTTGGCGCGGATCTAGATCAATTGGAGGTCATGCTTGGGGTGCTGAGTTGGTTTGAAGTGGTGACAGGCTTGAGAGTCAATTGGGCCAAGATTAGAGTAATTCCACTGGGGAAGATATAGAATATAGAGACTCTAGCAGAAGCTCCTGCATGCCAGATTGATTTTTTGCCAACTATGTACCTAGGCCTCCCCGTGGGGGGCCTGGGGGATAAATGTTTCTCCTCCCTAATATGGGACCTGGTGGTGGAAAGATTGGAAAGGAAACCGGGAGGCGAAAAAGAAAATCCATCTGGTCAGCTGGAAACAGGTTTGTACTCCAAAGGAAAAAGGTGGTTTGGAGGTGAGAAGTCTGAATACTTTTAAGAGAGCTTTAATGGGAAAATGGATTTGGAGGTTTGCAAGAGAAAGAGGTAGTTGTGGAGGAACTTAATTGCAGCCAAGTATGAAACAAATAGAGGGGACTGGTTAACCATTTAAAACCTTCTTTCCCTGGGTCTGTCCCCTAAGTTGGGTTCACAATGGTCTACCCTCTTCTTCACAATGGTCTGTTCCCTAAGTTGGGTTCAGGGCACTGTCTGAAGTTCTGGAAAGATAAATGGTGCAGTAACAGGTCCTTTGAAGAGCTGTTCCCCCAGCTTTTTCAACTAGCAGAAAACCAAGATGCAATGGTGGCAGATTGTTGTGAAGTGAATGGAAATGGATTTTCCTGGATCCCTGCTTTCAGAAGACCTTTTCAAGATTGGGAAGTGGATCAAGCGGTGGATCTGTTGGGCTTGCTTTCAAACCAGATTTTGAACCCCATAGAAGAAGATTCGTGGATCTGGAAGTGGAATGTAGATGGAATTTTCACTGTGAATCCCTTTGCCGAAAGGTTATCGGGTGGAGGAATTGAAAATATCTCTGCTGTTAAAATTTGGAACTAGATTCCTCCTTTCAAGGTGAATGCTCTACTTTGGGCTGTAGTTTTGGATAGAAAGCTATCTAAACAGAATCTGGCCAGAAGAGGAATTCTGATTCAGAACATGCTTTGTGAGCTTTGTGGTCAAGCAGAAGAGGATAAATAGTAATCTCTTCATCCATTCCCCTATTATGGGGCCACTTCCTCTCTTCTGAAGCTCTTTCCTGGGTCATGCCAAAACGAGTATCGGATCTGTTATGGAGCTGGGACCTGCAAGGTCTCTCTAAGCTGGCTAGAAGTGTGTGATGGGCTATCCCTGCAGCTGTGATCAGTTCCATCTGGACGGAGAGAAACAGAAGAATCTTTCAAAATAAAGCTAAGGATGTAGACCGTCTAATCTCCTGTGCTAGTGGGAAAATTAGTGTCATGGACTGCAGGTGAGAAAGGCTAGAAGTGTGTGATGGGCTATCCCTACAGCTGTGATCAGTTCCATTGGACGGAGAGAAACAGAAGAATCTTTCAAAATAAAGCCAAGGATGTAGACCGTCTTATCTCTTGTGCTAGTGGGAAAATTTGTGTCATGGACTGCAGGTGAGAAAGGCTTCCAGCCTAGGGTATTTGGAACTCAGTTGAGGTCCAGAAGTGTATTTGAATTGTAATGTAAGCTGGGAGTCTGTTCTCAGTTTTGCTCCTTTTTTGGGGCTTATTTGTACAGTTCTGTTTCAGTTAATAAATTTACCTTAACCTTTTTTCAAAAAAAAAAAAGATTTAAATGTCCAGGGGTACAACCTTCTTGTTTGTGGCATGATTGTCTCACTCCTTGAGGTAGTATGCTTATTAAAATGTAATATTTTTCCAAGAGTTTATATTTGCATAGACTTATTTCTTTCAAAGGTGTCGCCTCATATTTGTTTAGGCAGTGACTTGCCGTGCATTTTGTGCCTTAGGCTCTAAGTACCCCTTGGCTTACAGGCTTAGTTGTGCATCTCGCTTTTAAGTCACTGATTAAGTTCTGTGCTCTGGATGTATTTATATGGTCATCATGGAAAGAGACACGTACTACTATTACTGGTATTTACCAATATGATCGATACTCAGAAATGGGGAGAACAGGTTTCCTTGAAGCAAAACCATACCATCCCTAGTTCCCCTGTAGCAGCACTTTCTGTACGGTACTTTGGCTACTGAATTTTGGTGGTCCTTATCAAATCTGGGTCTGATATGTTTTCTTCCTCCATTGTTGCCCTATTAAATACATCCTCCATAACCGATTGTATATGGAAAGAAACGCCTTGTTGTGGTCCTAAGGTTGATATAATTTGGTCATGTCTTTGTGGAACCATGAGTTTATGGTGCTCACTAACTATTGTAACCAGTGCTACTGAATTTTTTCCTTGTTTTGACTCTTAGTTTTTTTCACTTAATGTTATTGCAGCAAGCCATGCTCCTCCTCCAGCCCCTGTTCAGGGTAGCAGTGGTGGCTCCATTCTTGGCAATCTTGGTGCCACTGTAGCTCAGGGTATGTGAACAGGAATCTGAAATTTGTAATTCACTGCACCTGGTGCATATATATTTTCATAAGATGATGAAATCACATTTATTTCTTTACAGGCATGGCTTTTGGCACTGGAAGTGCAGTTGCACACCGGGCTGTTGATGCTGTACTTGGTCCTCGCACCATTCAACATGAAACTGTTGTCTCTGAGGCTGCTGCTGCTGCACCAGCTCCTACCATGAACAATGTTGGTTCTGATGCATGCAATATTCATTCCAAGGCATTCCAAGATGTATGTTAATTCCTTCATTCGTTCATTCATTCTGGTCTCTGCTTTTCTAAGATGCATGCATGGGGAGGGGTGCTATTAAAATTAGTAAGAAAGAAAGATTCACTCTGCTTATTTGGTGATCTATTTTTCGTTAGGTATATATAACTCATTCATGCAAGATGTAGCTCTACTATTACATGCATGTGTTCTTTAGTTTTGGCATGTGTGCATGCATGTTCTTCCTATTTTTTTTTTTTTTTTATTTGTTGGTGGCTGCATGTCTAGTTCTAACATGAGAATGTCTTTAGTATTATATGTGATTGGCTATATGGTTCTATCTTGGTAGACTTGCCAAGTTTTGTACTCATTATTGTCATTGTTAAAGAAATATTGACAAGTTCTCTTCATAAGGTTTTTAATTTCATATCAGATTGTAGCTGCTCATCTTCTGTTGTGATAATAGGTGGTTCTTAGTAATACAATTTCTTTCATTGGTCTTGCAGTGCCTCAACAACTATGGGAGTGACATCAGCAAGTGCCAATTCTATCTTGATATGTTGAATGAATGCCGGAGGAACTCTGGTTCAGTTTTGAGTGCTTGAGTAGTTGCCTTGTTTTGTCGAGGATATAACTTTCAAACTCACATTCCTTTTACGTTCGAAATTATCAGTTGGCATTTGAATTTCGATCCATTGGTGGGGGAGTTATTGGTCAATCGATGGCAAGGGGATCATTCACGTCAATAATAATGTTGATATTGTGACGTTTTGAGTACTTTATTTAAATGGTAGAACATTCTGCAGACTTGAATTATCTAATGCGCCCTGTTATTTGGAATTCTGTTCTAGTTGATTACATTGGCATTGGCACTGTTTTTTAGATTCTGTTTGGAAAATGTTGCTATCCCCAAAGCTTGCACTCTGATGATTGGAATTGGTCTGATTGCTGATATTAGTTAGGCCTTGGACAAGATGAGATTGGAGGCAAAAGTTAAAAACTGTTGGTGTTGTGTGTTAGGCAGGTACGAGTGATATCATACTTTGTAAATACCTATTTTGCCCTTTGTAAATTAACATAAATATTCTTGAAAATTGATAAAAAAACTCCCAGCATGATTTATCACCTGTTAATATTTTTTTTTCAACATTTTGAAAATGGCATTAAAACATTGCAACCTTCTCCCTTGAACTTTTAAAAAGATCGTACAACAGTCGAGGTTATGGCTGCGTTCTTCATTACGCCGTCGAAGAGTGGAGAAGTTTGGACGGGAAAGACAGGAACAGTGTTTATACTGGAGGGAAGTCACTGGATGACACTCGCATAAAAAGAAATTAATGTAAAATTCCTGAGATATAAAACGGTTGTTTGCACAAACTTGATTTCATGGATGATAATGTGAGGTTTTAAGTTGGGCTTGACACTCAAATGCTTAATGTAAAATTCCTGAGCATGGCCAAATCCGAACCCTAGGTACCTTTTATGCCAAATCTATTTCAAATCCATTTAACTTTTCCTCTTAACTTTTTAAACCCCTCGTCCCAAACTTGTTAAACCCGTCCTGATCCATCCAACCCGATTATATCATATATTATAATATGTTAGATATGTGAGACTTATATATTATATGAAAACTGTATCAAAACCTTCTAAATTCTAGAAAGGTTTATCAAACATTGAAAAAACAAACCAAACCAAAGAAATCAAGATGAAAAATCCTTGTGGTTTCAATTAACCTATAAAAAAATTATTAATTGAACTGATTAATACATATATATTTTTTTAATATATCATATATTTATATATTTATCTATTATATATATATGATAAATATAAAAATCAAAGAAGCGAATCGATCAAAAGCTGAACCAATCAATTACTTTGGTTCGGCTTTGGTTCTCAACATTTCAAAAACCGACGAAACAATTGGGTTTCAATAATTTGCCCATGGTTTGGTCAACCATGAGCAAACCTACCAAATTCTAAGGCACTTGTTTTCTCTGATTTTTTTTTTTTTTTTTTTTTTTTTTCAGATAGTGAACGTGTTAGAGGCTTGGGGATGAGGGTAGTCTATGTTCGTCCCCCCTACCCATAAGGTCATAACCCCTAACCCTGTCCCTTGTGAGAGTCGAATTTGATTAAAAGCACTTAAGAGTTAAGACTAGCATTTCAAGTTGAGTTTGAATTTGAATTTTGACAAATAGATACCATTTACAATCTTAATTAAAACAACAAAGTTTTATAAATAATTGTAAATATTTAAAAATCATTAACAAGTATGTCACCTAAAAACAATATTTGGATTGGACTTGAATTTATCGAGACCAATTGAGTCTCAATCTAAATTTAGACAAATAAGTACCATTTAAAAATCCCAAATCTTAATAACATTAGTTTAAAGTCCATTTGAATTTAGAAATAATTACATCAATATTTTTTTAAATTAATTGATAAAAAATTAAAATTCATAGACAAATATTTCACCTAGAAATATTACTTGGATTGGACTTAACTTGCCCAAACCAATTGGGTCTTAATTGAATTTAGACAAATAGATACCATTTGTATTTTGCAATCTTAAAGCCTAATTATATTAATTTAAAATCTGCTTAAACTTAATAATAATTACATCAATAAAATTTTAAAATTAACTAATAAAAATTTAAAATTCATAAACAAGCAACTCACCTAAAAGTATTGCTTGGATTTGACTTGAACATAACCAAATGCCCCAAACTTGCAAATTAACCAATCAAGAACATTATAGGCCATAGGGCTCCTCTTAGTTCTCTTGATATATTATTTATTATAAATTGTTTTATACTATATATTATATCACATTATATATAACTGGGTATTGGGAACGGGTATTGAGTATATATATCACATTATATAAAACTGGGTATTATATATATAACTGGGTAATATAGGCCATAGGGCTCCTCTTAGTTCTCTTGATATATTATTTATTATAAATTGTTTTATACTATATATATATCACATTATATAAAACTGGGTATTGAGTATCAGATATCTTATAGGGTTTTAATCTAAAATTCCAAACCCATCAAATGGGCCCAATTAGGGTCAGAATGGGTTAGATACCAAAAAATTCTCGTTCCCCATATCCGTTGGGACTACCTAGCTAATGTATCAACTGAGCCACCACTAGGTACATTTGTGTGGGTTGTCATCCAACATGAGGGAGTGGATGGGTTGGGTTAGAAATAAAATAGGTTAGGCAACTTATTAACGTTGTGTTTGGTTGGTTTGTGGGATGGGATGGGATGGGAAAGGGAAAATGGGTAGAAATTTTCATTACTAATTGTTGATATTTTAATGAAATACTTTTATTATTAATTAATTATTAATTAAGAACTAATATTTTAATATTAATTTCATTAATATTTACTATAAATTAATTAATAATTTTATTGTTCTTATTAATTTTTATTAATTATTTAACAGTATTATTATTTAATTATTTTCATTGGATCATTAATTAGATTAATATAGTAATATCATTATTTATTTATTCATTAATTTCTTAGTTAATTAATTATTAACTATTTTTGTTAATTATTAATGAGTTAATAATATTTTTTGTTATTTAATATTTTATTATTAATTAGATATTAATTATTTAAAATCCATAATTATTTAATTAATTAAATGTTACATTTTGTTTTTGTAAATTTATTATTATAATAATATTTTATTAGTACTCAAGACTTAATTAATAATTTTAATATTTTAATATTAATTATTCATAAATATTAAACTATTTTCATTGATAACTTATTTATTTTAATTTATTTTGATTAAACTATTAATTATAAAATAATTATTGAATTGTAATTAATTTATTATTAAATATTTTATAGTTAATTTTTAATTAAATAATAATATTTTTATGATTGTATTTTATTCTGAATTATTAATTTGATATTAATTAATTACTAATAGTAATAAATATTTTATTTTTTAATTTATATTTTAATATTAATATTTTATTTTAGTAATACTTATGAGTTATGAGATAATTAATAATTTTAATATTTTATTCTAAAAGTAATTAACTATTAAATTATTTATATATTAATAATTTTTTTAAGTTATTTATTAATTGTTTAAATTAAATTATTTTATTAAGATGTTATTAAATAATTAAGAATTTATTTATTGGTCATGGGTCTTGTATTAACTCTTAGAAATACTACAAGGAAGCTGCTTTTTTTTTTTTGTTAAATAAGTTTTCCCCTACATTCCAACTTGTTTCTCACCAAACCACATCCCAAGAATTGGGATCTATAATCCCACCTTTTTCCCATCCCATTTCATGACATCCCAGATGCCAAACATGAGAAGGGAGGAATATTCCATATTTTCCCTCCCCATTCCATAAACCAAATGGAGCCCAAGGGTGAACATGCTAGTGTTTTATACTCATGGACCCATATCCCAAATCTAGGACCAAATGGGCTAGAAAGAAAGTAGGTTAGGCAACCTATTAAGAGCGAATAAATAAGTATTTTGTTCTAATGGATCCAAGCATGTATAGGGAACACAGGCGTATTCACTCTTGATAGGTTGCCTGGCCTACTTTGTTTCTAATGCATCCACACTCCCCATATCCCAACTTGTACTTTCTTTAAAGTGATGTGGTCAGGTTGGAGGAATTCACATCTGTGCCCCATAACACATCCCAATTCCCAACCGTGTATTGGGAACATCTCCCAATGACAACTTTGGGAGACGTTCCTGATGTAACCGTTTTTGGTTACGTACCATTTTTTGTGATGTATAAAATTTTTTGGCTAAGTAACTCGTTGTTTGACCCGGTGGTGATGTGCCTTGGTGATGAGCTACTTGGTGGTGAACTCCCTGGGGGAGAACTACTTGGTGACGAACTGCTTGGTGGGCGAACTGCCCGGTGGCGAGCTCCCTGGTGGAGAGCTACTTGGTGACGAACTGCCAGGTGGCGAACTCCCTGGTGGCGAACTGCCTGGGGGCGGACTGCCTGGTGGCGAACTGCCTGGTGGTGCTCCCTAGGGGTGAACTGCCTGGTGGTGAACTGCCTGGGGGCGAACTGCCTGGTGGTGAACTCCTTGGTGGCGAACTGCTTGGGGGCGAACTTCCTGGTGGCGAACTGCCTGGGGGCGAACTGCCTGGTGGCGAACTGCCTGGTGGCGAACTCCCTGGTGATGAACTGCCTGGTGGTGAACTGCCTGGTGGCGAGCTGCCTGGTGGCGAGCTGCCTGGTGGCGAACTGCCTGGTGGCAAACTGCCTGGTGGCGAACTGCCAGGTGGTGAACTCCCTGGTGGCGAACTGCCTGATGGCGAATTGCCTGGTGGCGAGCTGCCTGGTGGCGAGGTGCCTGGTGGTGAACTCCCTGGTGGCGAACTGCCTGATGGCGAACTGCCTGGTGGTGAGCTGCCTGGTGGCGAACTGCCTGGTGGTGAACTCCCTGGTGGCGAACTCCCTGGTGGCGAACTACCTGGTGGACTCGTCACTTGACTTGCTCCTAGGCGGCCTGCAACTCGGAGGATGGTGGAGATCCTTGGTGCAGCGCAACCCGACTACCCTCCGCGTGAGGTGATTTTCTCTCCTTTGTAGGCGGTGGGAACTGAGGGACCTGCGAGAACTGAACCAGAGGACCCGGGGGTATTTTCCCGGCGGGGACTCTCCGATGCCTAAGTTAGCATTCTGATTACAGAGGGCTTGGAGAGAAATGAGAGAGCTAGAGAGCTAGAGAGCGGGGGTTACCATCCTTTTTCCTTCTCTTT